GTAAAAATGTGTAAACATTAGAAGAGACACCACCAGTTTGGCGAAATGTAATAGAATGGGATATGTTAGATGAGACATAAATATGGAGATGAAATATTCTACACATCTAGAAATTTTTTACACTAACACCAAAGATTATGGCAGGTGTCTTGTCCATCAATGGTAGGTGTGTTAATTATAAAGAATATATAGAATAAAGAAAAGGGACAATTCATAAAATTTATTGCTTTCGTCGATATTTGATTTTACACTGATGTATTAACCCATACGAATCCGAAGAATAAAACTCCATTCTTAAATACCATATGAACTGATCTATATTGTGAACTAATCTCCAATAACCATGACAGATAGTTATTTCACGCATTGCATATAACAGCAGAAATCACACATGGGAGTCAGTAACACACTTATAGTTTGAAACCTAAAATAAATCAATTGATGTAAAAAACACATAGAAATGAACAATGTCATGAGATTCACGATGAGTCTTAGTATTCATGGTTTTTGGAAACGAAAGGAGTAAATTCTGAAGAGAGTTAAGTTTAATGAAGTGCCACACTACACTTTTACAGGGATTTCGTAACCCACATAAAAATATTTTAAAAAGACGCGTAACCTGTCCTTTGATCTCTCCCAATAAAGCTAGAGACTGAATTTTGAGAAATAAACAGGTATAATACTTTTCTCTAGACTGGCAATGAGAAACGCAGCCAATTTATGAATCGCAGTACCCTAGAAGCCTATTTTTTCACTTCCCTCAGCTTTACACGTTAGGACATACACGTTGTATCACAGCTTTTGGATTGCCACATTTTGATTATATCCCACAGAGAAAAAAACAAAGTGAGGCTAACATTTGGACACACGATATATCAGAAACTAGATAGAAGCCTAGACATACTGTTCAACCGAGCGAGACGATAAACACAAGCATTCTCAGCATAGAGCTATAATATATCATCATCTGGAGAGAGGATGCACACAAAGCATAAAATGAGTAAAGAGGATATAAGAAGAAGTAAACAACAACCTTGCAAAAAAAAGTTCATCTGTCCATGCAGACCCAAAACCGTCCATAAGTTATTGACGCTAACATCTGCACAATAGCCAATTCGCCGTATTCAAGGGGTCTGCTGTTGGAGCTAATAACTTGCCTGTGATTCTGAGTAGGGCAGATATAGATCAGGATTGGTACACTGTTATCATATCATCTAGCGACGCACCAGCGAAAACTAACTGTCTAGATTAGTTATAGTTCGATGCACACACACGAACCATGTAATTCATGATATAGGATAGACAGAGGATATGAAGGATAATTAATGAAGACGAGCACGCAATGAGCAATTGTATCAAAATGCATTCGCATTGACCTTAGGAGAGTGCGAGTACCTTTAGCACGAGCTTGAAATATAAGATAGCTTGGGGTGAAAAAACTGCGTACAAGTTTGAGACAATCAATGAAGTTTTTTATTATAATATTTACGGAGGATTTTCAGTTAGTGTTAATGAGACAACAGTGCACAGTCAGAAATAATCGAACCGAGGAAAAGCACTTCTTACTTACAGTTTCTAGAGCATTAGCATGTAGAGATGGAACCCTCAAGAGTAAGAAAGAAGGAAAAAGAGTGTGGCGACGCGAGCAATAGAGAAAATTTAATGTGAATTTATGGGGAGAGAGTTACGAACTAATTTTGTTGAGTGATATAAATTCACATCCATTACCTGTTCAACACAAATAAATGTTAAAAGTAATGTCTTTATATCCTAGAAGCAAAAATTTAATATATATGGTTCAATATACGGTCAATATTATCTAGAATTAATCAATTTTCTTCAAAAGTAGTTTAAAATGCGTTTGTGACTGTAGTGGAAAACTTCATACATTTAGCACATTAATTGTGAAATGTTGAGATATTGAAATTCGACCTATCTTTATATTAGCTAATTTATATCATAGTAGTTAGCGGGTTCACTATACGGGGTATATTGAACACCTGACTGGTCAGGCTTCTTACAACAGTGTTCTCAATCCCACGTCTAAACAAACGTATCAAGAAAAGAAAAAAAAAAAGCACATATAAATCGGTACAAGTCACATAAATTGGAATTATAAAAAACACATAAAATAATGATATCACATGGAGACTGACACGAACCTACTACGATGGACCACATGGAGACGTGTCTACGAGAGCTGAAAAAATGTGGATAAAGCAGATTATCACTCTCTGCTTGCGGGTTTGCAATGGAAGATCTTATACACTATATTTTCGGACATATTGCACGTCACCAGCTTCACTTCCCCCCAACATATTTCACCTCTTTCTCCATGCCTTAAGTCCTTTTTGAGTTTCTAAGAGGTTGTAAGCTTATTTTAATTTGCGGGAAGGCGAATGGGCAGTATGTTACAAATGTCTCTGAACACGTGTTACAGGAGCATTTTTCAATCACAATACGCTCGTAAAAAATATCTAAAATTTGTGCGCAAATAAAATATCTATTTCATCTCTTTTTAATAAGAATTTTTGGTAAATTATATACATTTTTATTAGTTATAGTGATTTATTATAAAATCGTGTTTCAAGGCATTGAATAATTTTATCTACAGTTACTAACTTCTGTTACTATTATTTAGGGGAAATAGAATTATGAAACGCGATAGTTTAATACCCTTTTCGACATTGTCTTCCGACGCTGGGCGTTCCAATCTAGGCTATACAAAGAAGTGCGAGGTACTGCTGCATTCTCACTGTCTTCCGCGTGCATTGTTGATTACTATATTTCGTTGCGTTTAGAATGTTCATAATTTAAAAATTTTAAAATATGTGTAATAAAATGACACAATATTTTAAATTTATAAGCAATTCTGAATTCTAAAAAGTAATGGTAGTAAGAGGGGAGGTAAAAAAAAAGTACCTAAATACCCTATCTGAATAAGTGACGTTTAGAGAAGTTCATGGTGAGCGAAGGATTCCCATAATGTCGCTTACCTATATTTTCCAACTTTTTTTCTTTATATGAAATTTTCTTGGCAGTTGTGTTGTAATCTTTTTAACTATCAAGGAATAATTCCAAATTTTCTGCCTTCGTATGCGCATTTTACTCTTCTTGCGAATTTATTTATTATTGCATTTGTATTCCTTGCTTATTTAGAAATTGGAATCACTCTGCCCTATTTTCCTTTGGGAAGTGATTCTGACATTGGTATACCATTAACTTTTACACCTCTTCGTTTGTGGCGCTCTTCGATGCGTATCTCGTGTTACGCACTCCTCTTAAAAAGCTTGTTTACACGAGATACAGTGCACCTGAACGAACACCATTAATATTTCCCACCTGACACAGGAGACGAGATTGGTGAATGATCTGTTTCGCTTCTTGCTATGGTCCTGCGGCATCACTGTGTTGGCATGTGGGTTATGTGTGATCATTTTATTTGCAATGAATGGCTGGAGGTTTTTCTGTCGCAAGACGAATCATATCTCTGAGGTGTTTTGTTTATATTATTGGTCCTCACTTAATTTCCTATGAGGTTTTTGACTGTTGGCGTTAATCGTGTGTTTGATCTTATGCGAAGATTCTGTCATAATCTGCCATAAATAACCAGCATATATTTTCCTGAATCCAATTAGTCAACTTTTTTGTAGCTTCGAAGAGAATCTTGAAATTTAATATCTTGTTGTTGATCATGCCTCGTAGAGTAGAGGGATTATATAATGTACTGCTCAATCTGTTTCCGGAAATAATAAAATCTCGGAATTATAACTCTAAATGTGAAAATCTGGACTATTAAATTGTATATGAGGAAGCTCTTCATGATAGCGAGTGTAACTCCTAGTGAAGATCACTTATCATCAGTTCCGGGTTTTCATATGGTAGTATATTGGCCTCCAACCGGCGCAAGACAGAGTGGACCCACGGCGCTCCCGAGTCCAGTGAATCTTTCTCCGTCGTCTTCCTCTAACTAAAAGGAACAGAGGTTTATTACATATATTTGTTCCTCATGGAGTAAGTACAGCACTAACTCCTTCGCTGCATCTTGCCCTAATAGACACTATATCTGAATTACTTACTACGGAATAATCCACTCCTTGAATCATATCTAGAATTATTAAAGTAAAGTTGGTTAGGTTCTTGCGGTCGTTCTATAAGGGTTTGAAATTTCTCAAGAGTAATTTTTAATAGTATATGAGATTCTAATGCAAATATTACTTGTTTCATCGATCCTATTGTGGCGGGTGGGGATGACATTCCAGACGGTAGAGTCACTTCTACTCTGGTTCCAGGTCACAGATCTGGGTGCAGAACTCTGGCCTACCGAGAAGGCGCGAGAGATTTCGTTGTTGCAATCCATCTGGAGAGAATCAAGAAAGAGACAAAAGCAGAAGTGGAGGTCAAGATCGAACGACAGAGAGACGAGAATTCGTTGCGGCGGCGTACTCTTGGCACCCGCGGAAAGCAGCTAGGCCACCTCGCATGACAATTCTTGACCGAGCTGTCATAAGTTTTATGGGGAATGTAATTTAAGATTAGTGCCAAGCCGCAAGTATAGGTTCCGCACCAGCTGGCGGAGGCAGAACAATCAAAATACGTCTGACGCGGAGCCCATATAAACCACTCTACCAACAACGCGAGACACAGCAATCGAATGTTACTGAGTCGTGTAAACTTATTCAGAGCAATCTTGAAAGCGCAGATCTCTCTGCGAAAGTTTTATCCTAAACCTAAACGCTACAGACCGGTTCAAGACGGAACTGGGCAGGTCGAGTTCCTTTCAAGTGGAGGAGTCTGATGTAGGACAGAAATCCGATTATTTCGCGTGCAACAAAACTAAAAAAAGGAAGCGGCGAGCAATAAAGAAAAGTGATTAGAGAATTGGTAATTCACGTGTTAATAGATTATTTGCTACGGTCATATCTCAAAAGTTGATGTTTTGAACCTTTCTTCTTGAATGAACGCTACTTTCATTTCTGGTGCGGTCGTAGAAAAGGTGTTTAATTCTCCCACAAAAGTGGCTTGAGCCATCTTTTGCAGAAAGTCATGAAGACAGCAGCCTACTAATAAATGGAGTCTTTTGGGGTTTCAAGGGCTTTATTATATGTCAGTTATTTTCATTTTAATTTCCTAAGTCTTTTGAGTTTTCCAAGAGGTTGTAAAAGGCTTATTTAAGAGCCATGGCTTTGTAATCATGTAGACATCTTTCAATCAATTAATCAAATTATCCTTTGGATTTGTATCAACTGGTGGACTCCAGTAACTTTGTTCTACAAGGGATTACGCTGGTAACCCTTTCATTGCTTCGTGTTGCGTCATTAATGATCAAGACTAAAAAGAGAAGGGATACCTCACTCTAAAATTGGGTTCTTTGTATAATCTATATAGAAAATAAAGTTCGTCTTAAGGATTAAATGCAAGAAAAGAACCTACCAAAGTCGGGTGGAGGCGATTGGTACAACTCCATGGGAGATTCTTTTGCACCCCCTGCAAAATAATTGCATGTCTATTAGTCATAGAAGTTTCAATCCATGAAGCACATTTGAAGGTGGATAGATTTCATATTAAATGGATAATACCTGTAGACTAACCACTCTTCTAAACATACTTCTCAAAGTGCGACTACCAGATACATCAACTCTGCAATTTCAGATAACAAGATTATTATCTGAGTAAGAACCAAAAGGTATCAGGCATGCCAAAATTGGTTGAAAAATGGATTCTTACACGTCAAGAAACAGTCCAGCATCACTGAGGCACTTCACTCTAGTAGTTGCAGGGAACATTCCACGAAATTCATCACAGTGGAGTACAGTTGCAACCCCACCAGCAGAACATCCAGAAAGAAGAGCCTAGAAATCCCAAAGTGAAATGTATAACACTAGCAAAAGAGTGAAACATATCCTTTCCGAAAAATTAATGACAATAACCTGATTAGCATAGCGCATTCCCTTTGACATCAAGTCTTCCATAGCAGCTTTCCAGATACGTTGTCCTCGAAAATGCAATTGGGCAGCCTGAGCAACAAATAAACCAATAATTTCAGTTATCTCATAACATCTATAAGAAATACTACTTTGTTTGCAACTGTTTGACAATAAAAATCTTAAGAATATGATGCACCACAGCGACCAGTGTAAATACAGCAAGTATTAAACTTGAGTTCCTTACCTCGGGTAGAAATTAAGCAAAATAAGTGCTGGTTTTCAACAAGAATTTAAAAATAAATAAGTATATGATCATTTACTCCCACTAACCTCATTGTGACTGTCACCGGCAAAAGATGCACCATCACAATACCGAACCTTAACTCTGTTCCAATTGTAAAAGTCTGCAATTGTTTATGTCCCATCAAAAATATCAGATTACTAATGACGTGGGAAGAATCATGTAGGACATGTAGTGCTGCATGTGTAGAGAAATAAGGATGCAGACAGATGGATAACCAGGGTTTTCTCCTGCTTTGTTGCTTAGTATCCCTGCAAATGGTATATGCTTCTCCATATATGCTGATGAACCGCGATGAGTTTTCTTACGGTAGACACAGTTTCTGATTGTATCACACCATCCTCCTCCCTATCAATAAAAGAAGTTAACCAAAGATGTTACTTAGCTCCCAGCATATATTACAGGCAAGCCACTCAAAGAGAAAAACAATATTATACCAAGGACTAGTCGGTATCAGCTAAGTTACTTAATAAGATCTATTTCCTATATATCCTTTAGATGCATACGAAAGGCAAAGAAGTGCAAATCATCTTCGCTGAACGAGAAACTTTAGATGGTAAACTAATTTGATCAGAGTATTAATGAAATATCCATATAGAAGTACCAACAGTTAGTACCAAACAGAAGTATAACTCAATCAGATTCATCACAACTATTGATGGTGATGTGTTAAGAACATAACTGCCATAATTCACTCTGTCAAGTTTGTATGACAGTTCTTAATTTTCGTTGGATATTGCATACCTCTAACTGAATGAGCCAACTGTTTGCTCCTGACCCGTATCCGTGGTGGATGTGGTAAGCAGGTAATGTTCCATCTAGGCAGACTGCACATTGAGAAAACAAAAGTCATGAAACCACAAAGGAATAGAGGCATCAGTTCCTTTCCTTTGCAATTTCTGAAATTGGCCACATGAGCATCTAACTAAGAAACAGATGGGAGTTTCAACTACCTATGAATGCATTGAATCGTTCCACAAAGAATCAAACTTTAAAAACACACTAATCTGTAAAATTCAAGTATCTTTATTAGCAGAAAAGGAGAAATATCTTTCATTTTTTTGGTGAAAAAAGAGAACCTGCTCCTTTGGCAGCAGCTCCATTGATGAGTGTGAGACCCACCATTAAGGGTCTGCTGGAAACCCCATAACCATAAGTTGCATAGCCATACACATTACTCTCAGTATAATGCAGGTCTTGTTCCTGTTTGACATTCACATCCCCAATAAGAGTTCCATCTGTTCTTCTGCAAAACACAAACCCCATAAACCCCAAAACCCAGAAAAGCTTCATGCTGGCTGACCCCGGAAATCTCATTGCACAAACAAATGGTAAAAACTAGAGCTTAAACCAGAGCTATTTTTTATTTACTTATCAATGTAATTCAGCTGAAGAAAAAGAAGGGGGAGACAGAAAGACAGAGAAACACAAGGAATGTGGCTGAAGAACAACTTTGGTAATATGAAAAGGATGAATATTGTCGTAATTGAGGTAGTAAGCAACCCAACCACCAGTTGGCATTGGCTAAAAAAATCAAATCTCTTTCTTTAGGTGTTAGCAAAACAAATAACCCTGTTTGGAACTTCTTTAACATCACCAAGAACCCAATATGCTTCTACTAGAAGTGCTTTTAGTGAAAGTGCTTTTTTAAAAAAGCAGTTCCAAAGTAAATAAAGAAAATGGCGGAGAAGAAGTGGGAGAGAAATGGGGTATTTTGGTTCTGGTTTCTTTCATGAACTCAATTCTATCACTATTTGGTAGTGGTCACTGTCCTCTTGGTAAATATGCTACATTTGGCCTTTTAGTTCATGCTTACCGCTAATAAAGTGGGCAACAACCATAATCGATAAGCAATAATTGTGAGTGCCTAATTGGAGGGTTATCGGTGCTCGCTCCGGCCAATTTACACATGCTTCATTCATTCTCAACTTTTTCATGAACTATTAAAACTATGAATAAAATTGTAGTAATGGTCCATCAACATTAACTCAATTGAAGTAATGGTCCATCAACCAAAAATCAATTATTATTGGTCCCTCAACTCAACTCATCAAAACGTGTAGCTATGATCATTTTCATCAACTCTGTTAGAACTTCCGTCAAAATAAGTTACGTGTCTTGCACGTGAGACTAAATCAAGGGCAAATATGAAAAATCAAATAAGAAAAATTGTATCAATGATCACTCAACTTTAATCCAATTGGAGAAATTGTCCCTCAACTTTAACCAAATTAGAGCAAAGTCCATTACTCTAATTTAAGTAAGGTTGAAAGACCATTACTACAATTTACTTTAAAACTATCTAATGTCAATAATGAAAATTGATAGAATTAGAGCATTTAGGGACATTGTAACTTGACCTAATTAACTTCTCTTTTTTTTAAGTAAATAATGTATGCCTCTAAATTTAGTGGGGTTCAATGATATTTGAGGCCAGCTCTAACTTTAATCCAGACTGACTAGTGAGAATGGCAGCCCCGACACTCCATTTGATCACCAATCACATCTAGTAGGGAGCTGTACCACACTCTAACTATGACTCCCTCTTTTTGGTGGGGATTCTCTCCTCTATCTGTTTCCCTCCCCTCCTCTCACCCTCTTCAGTTTTTGTTTTTTTTTCTTTCTTCTTTCTCTTTCTACTTTTTTCTTCTTATTAGTCTCTACAACGATGGAATCTTGAGTTTTCAAAAAGAAGAAGAGAGAAGGGGAGAGAAAAAAAAGGGAAGAAAATCCTTGTCCATCTTTCCATAGCCATGATGTCCCCATACTTATCAAATATTGAGTAAATTGTCGTTTCACCCTCTGAATTATTATTTTAGTTGAAATTGACATTTTAAACTATTTTTTGGTAAAATTACCCCTTAAGCTTTTTGAAATTAGCCCATTAATCGTTGACCATCAGATTCATGAAAATTTCATCTACTTTGCTATTAAATACTGGCACACAACTAGCATATGATTCACTCTTGGTTATAAAGTCGTGCCAGTATTTGATAACAAAGTAAATGAAATTTTATCAAATTTTACAGTAAGAAGTTAATTGGCTAATTTCAAATAGTTTAAGAGAGTTAATTTAACAAAAAGATATTTCAGGAGGTTGATTGCAAATGAGTAATTATCTAGACGGTCAAGCGTTTACCCTCAAATGTTCAACATTAGCATCCTATTAATTCACATTTCAATATCATGCAGACCATCATGAGTTCTATCCTAAAGGCCATACTAATGCTTATGCATGTCCCACATTCTAAATGAATTTTTCATACTCTTTGAATTTCATTGTGATGTTATCTCATGTCAATCATGCATTGATAAAAACGCATAACAGTGGGTAATTGATTTCACAAACGATTGGCAAATCAAACACATAATCTAAAATGCATAATAAATTGTTGATTATAATCACTTAAATTACAATCTCCTAGCTACTACTCATATGCAATTGGTCTTAAAGTATTGAGTCTATTGAGCACTACAAGTTACAAGTTACAAATATTACAAGATCTTGTGGTCCATGCATCCACCTATATTTATACTTCTACTCTTGTATAAAAATAGACTTCCATGACATTTCCATCTAGAGGGCTTTTGGCTTTTGGCTTTCGGCTTTTGGCTTTTGGGAATTTTCATTTTTATGTCATGTTACATTTGGCACTCAAAAACTCAAAATTTTATCTATGAATGGAACTTGTACTAGTACTTGGGGCGTAGACTTTGCTTCCTATTTTTTTCACTTGGCCTCGTTTTGTTTTTCTTCTACCTTGGACACAAAGCTTACACTGCTTGCAGAGAAAGACTGAGGTCCGCTGGCTTTGAGCAACATTTCCTCGTCGACTGTAACATCATTCTTATACTTATACCATTGGGCACACCATACATAAATTCCGAAATTAACCACGCTGAGGATCGCGAGGAACCAATAGAAATAGTCCGCGTGGCTTTTGTTCATATCGCGTCCTTCCAGCCACCCCATTTTGTTCTTGGTGAACTTGCTAGTGATGTTGTTAATGAGCTCGACGAAAACCGTACTCAAGTAGTAGCCCAAGAGAAGGAAGTGGAAAGAGAGCGCATGCCGGCGGGTGCCTCCTTGTAGAAGAATTCCATCAGCCCTACGAGTGTAAACATGTCCGCGATTCCAAAGATCGCGTAATGGAAAGAGAGCCAGAAGAGGCTAATTTTGTGGTTGTGGTGAACCATCTCGTGTTTTCGCTTAACTTCTACGAGTCCTGCTATGGCCATTGAGATGGCTGAGAGGACAAGCCCCACCCCGACTCTCTGGAGGTGGGTTATGCCATAGGGGTGACCCGTGATTTTGCGCAAGAGGGGAACGAAGGCAAATTCGTAGACTGGAATAAGGAGGGTCATGAACGCTAGAGGAATCACTGGGATTGTGGCGGATGGGACATCAAAATCGCCAATGCGTGTGTTCATGAGGGTGCCTTGTTGGATTGAAAGGGTTTGCAATTGGGCTAAGCATGTGTTCATGAGGATTGTGCTTAGAAGAATAGGCATCATCCTTGCCAAAACCTTCACTTCTTCCACCTGTGTTACTGTGCAAACTTTCCATTTTCTTGCTGCGTTCGCGCCATTAGGGAGAACGGCTGCCTTGTCTAGTAATCTGCTCAAAGAAAAGTTGATAATCTTGTTAATTGGTATTTTTTTTCTTATTTTGCACGTTTTCTTGAACAGCAAGTAACTATCAAAGAGACTCCTAATGCTAAGTTCCTAATGATAAAAAAAGTTCGTGTATTACAAGTTACAACCGATATCAGTCACGTGATCAATTATTATCAGAAACGTGTTATATTCAAGTTATAAGCAAGAATTTCTTCTTAGACAGTCCAAAGTTACGTAAGCGAACAAGTGGTGATAACAAATGAAGGGTTTGAGGAACCTGCCTGAATTGATTGCTGTGAGGGATGAGCTCTGCTTTAGAAGCAGAATCGCGGGCACGTATTTCATACAGTTTATCGGAATTCTGGGGTACCTCCACCTTCCAGTTCTTTACAGACACCACCAGTACCTTCACAAAGGGTCATCTCAAATTAATCAGTCCTCTGTTAATGGCATTACTAATCACCCTATATTTGCCAAGTTAAACAACGGGAGAGGAAGGAAGAGAGAGACCTCTAAAACCCTAATCAAAGGGCTCTCTCCTGGAACTCGGACGCGATAATATGGCTTTCCCAATGCAACAAAGAGAAGACCAACAGCAGCGCAGGACAAGGAGATGATAAATCCGATATCCCATCCAACATTTGAGCTCACATACACCACAAATGTGACACCAATCACAGCTCCAACTGTTATGCTAAGCAAAAACCAATTGAAGAAGCTGGCTATGTGCTTGTGCTCATTGGGATCTTTGGAGTCGAATTGATCAGCTCCTAAAGCTGGGATTGCTCCTCTGATTCCGCCTCCTCCAAGTGCCACAAAGGAAATCGAAGCGTAAAACAGTAGGGCTTTTGTGCCATGCACACAGGTTGATTCCAGACAAGGTAGAGGTTGCAGGTTTTTGTCATGGGCTTGAATAATCAGCAACATATATCCCTGCAAGTCAAAACACAACATATACATGTATTGATTAGTGTAGTCCAGGTGTGAAACAGACAATCTGTTCTGTACTGAAGAACGAATTGTGTGTAGTCCAGGTGTGAAACAGACAATCTGTTCTGTACTGAAGAACGAATTGTGATAAGTCATCAATAATATGTCGATGTCCCTGTTACCAACAAACACGATGGCGTTATCTATATTTGTTTTCCAATATCGATGCAAGTATGTTTTTAAACAGACTTCCTACACAGAGAATTTTTGTTGATTAACGTAAGTTCTTTTTTTTTCCGTTTAAGATGAATCGGATTAAGTACGTTGGGAGAATGGAAGGAAACAAGATTTACCAGCAACTCGATGACGCCAAAGAGTAGAGTCGTGTTGAGGCGGTTCATGTAGGCATCAGAGATGAATCCTCCAACAATGGTGAGCAAGAATGTGGTGCCCAAGTAATTTGTTGTGGTGGTTGCAGAGCCAGAGAGGTCGAAGTGGATGACGAACATGAAGTATAAAACCAGGCTGGCCATGTTAGCCACAAAGCCTATGTTATCCAGGAACATCATTGCTGCACACAAAACACATTCAGCAAGAGCTCAAATTAGCATGATTTCTCATAAGAGTAACGCTATTTAGACACATAAATGACACTCTTTCTGATATAGGTGGTTCTCAAATATAATTGTACATACCACTAAAGAGTGTGTCAGTCTTATGTGTCTAAATAACATTATAATGTTCGTTAAGTTATCCGAAAGTTGTCACTTACCAAAGATAAAATAGTTGGCCTTGAATCCACCTTCTTTCCTCTTCAAGGGTTCATAGGCTAAGTCTTTAGCACCAAGTTCATTGTCCTACAAATCAAAACCAACTAATATTAGAAAATGACATACAACATGTAGTAGTTCTAACTTCTAACTAACAACCATGTATGTTCATATTTTTTTTTTGGTGTGGGCATGAGTAAAATGCTAAAGTTGAAGAAGCAAGGTAGGACACTTTAAATTTAGAGTCGATGTGCTTTTAGAATGGCTAAAAGTGCTACAAATAGCATTTGGAGAAAAAAAGTTAAAATACAATTGGATTCAAAAGCACTTTTTAGTAGTTTGTTCACGAAATATTTTCACAAAACACTTGAAGTTTCTATAAAAATAATTTAATAAATTTCTAATAAAAGTGTTTGTGAGCAAAAAGTACTTCCGTCCTAGTAATTACCATGACGAAGGATGTTAACGAGTT